CTGCAGTAGCTTCGTTACATGTTACATATCCACAATAAAATCACGGCATAGATGTAATGTTTTGAAAACGGTTCATATTTGTGGAAAGGTGGATTTTTCCTGTTCCGTGGTTTCCAAGTAAAAAAGGGCTTGAAGTAGCCGGTTGTAGCGGCTTTACTGTAAATGACCGCGGGTAACCCCAGATCGAACGCCCGCTCTATTCGAATGACGTCATATCGAACAAGATTCGCGGGTTCGGGGGATTCGATCTCCATAGTAGCGGAGTGGGACTTTTGGGCCCAAATCTGACCATCGAGAAAAGAGAAAATTATCCACATCTTCATTTTTCGCTTGCACCCACTCGTATGCAACATTTTTTGCTTAAATGTTTGAATATGTAACAAATTTATCTAGCATATCCCCGAAACAAACATTCTTAGTGAAGGAAACTAACCGATTGTGGTTTCTTTCTGCAGTACTCATTAAAGACGGTAATTCTCTTCTCTTGTTCATCAATAGCCGGAAGGCTGGTACCTGTGGAGAAGTTACAGTCAACATTGAAACTTTAATAAAACCCCAGTACAACATCCCCATGCGTCTCTGTCATGGCAGACTGTCAAAGAAAGGATTTTTGTAAACGCTGTCTCTTTAACCTCGGTCACAACCCGCCGTACGTGCTTCTGCGTGTTGTCTATGTGCAATCGATGCATATAGAACGAACCATCTCGGGGATCAAGCGAAAAGACCACATAACTATCCACGCGGACTAACACCAGGAGGTCTTCGCTGGAACATCAACATTCCACCACCTTTAACCCTACCTAGACGGGGGGGGGGCTAAAAGTGCCCGCGCCAACTTTGATGTCACCTAGCGTCTGAACGGCTAGAGCTAGAACGGCCAAACTTAGTGACTGTCCCTAAAATATTGTTGGCAACAATTCCTTATCATTGGAAAAAGATAATAATTTTTTGTGCTGCCATGGCAACGGGTTTCTGACAGGCATTTTTTGCTAAATTTAGTAATTTTTGTTTCAACAATAGAATTTTAGGGGTTTTAACCCTACCTAGACCGGGCTTTTTTTGACATGGGGGGACGAGGGGGGTCTTTTGACCCCCCCCTAAGAACTCGCGAACGGTATGTCGTATGACCACCAAATTTCAGAGAATGGTGTACAGGTAAAAATTTATCATATCTACAATTTTTATGTCGTTATGACGTAATATGACGTCATTATGACGTCATTAATGTGATTTTATTGGCCAAAACCGTCTAAATAGGTTTTTCCCTGAAAACCTCCCTGGTATACAACATAACTTTACCAAAAGTGTTTATGACAGAATATTAGTGTGTACTAAGTCTTATGTTGCCCATAGCAACACCGGTGACGTCATAAAATGACGTCATGCATATTTAAGATATCCGCCATCTTGGATCATCAATCTTGAATTTTCAAAAAATTAGTTTTTTTTTTCATGATAAAGTCCTAAAATACATTGTAAACATACTAAAACACCTT